CAGCCAGGCTCCACCCACACGAGACTCCTTGTTAGGTCTTACACTTCCCTACTTGATGGCCTTGCTTGGATGCCCTGATTTCCTTCTCCCTTCCCCTCCAGTTCCCCTTTTTGTCCCTGGACTTGTTTGCCCATTGTTAATGGACTAAAGTGTTCTATCCTCTAAAACCCATCTCAGAGATAAAGCCAAAAGCCACCTCTTCACAAGCTCCTGTCAGATTCCCTGCAACGGAGATTAAGATCTTTTTTTCCTCTGCCTATACACCCCTAAAACACTGCTCTTGCCTTTTCTTTTACTGTTTATTACCATCTGTCTGTCGCCATAATTGTCTGTGTTGGAGAGGCTGCATATGAAAGAAGAATTTTAAACTTGGGAAGTAAGTTCCTTGGCTCTTCTTTTTTTTTTTTTGAAGATTTTTTTTAATGTTCATTTTATTTTTGAGAGAGAGAGAGCAACTGCAAGCGGGGGAGGGGCAGAGAGAGGGAGACACAGAATCCAAAGCAGGCTCCAGGCTCTGAGCTGTCAGCACAGAGCCCAACGAGGGACTCAAACCCACGAACCGTGAGATCATGACCTGAGCTGACGTCAGACGCTCAACCAACTGAGCCACCCAGACACACCCAAAAATATGTTTTTAACTGCAAAATGATAGAGGGATGAAGAGATCTCTTCCTCAAATGGTTGTCTGCTCGAGGACAAGCAGGTTCCAGGTGTTAGAAATCCATGCACCTTTCACAACACTTGGTCCATAGTTGAAATCATTGAATTCTGTGAAATTAAGTGTAACAAAGATGTAGCAGTACAGCTTCCTTCCTGTTTAAAAGTGTGGGACAAAGAGGGGAAGGAAAATGAAGCCAGTTTTCCTAACTCTTTGGTGAGTGTGCGCGTGACCGATCATGCAAACCTTGACTAACAGAGAATGTCCTTTTCAGATTAATATAGGGATCTGTTGAGTCTCCAGCATCGTGCTTTTTGTATTTCAGTGAAGGCTGCAAATAGGGTCGGGTCATGTCACACCCATGCTAGCTGTGCTCCTGTAGTAGCTAAGCAGGCCCAAACGGGATAACCAGCCTTGCTTGTTCCATAGTTATGTAATTACAGGCCTTATCAAATATGTCCTGGCTTGTAGACGTGAGACACATGACAGCATAGTCTCTCTGAGCATGGGATACATGCCTCAGGACCTTTCCCTGGAAACAAGTGTGAAACAAAAGAGAATTTAACATCTGAATGCAAAAGTTAGAGTTAAGTAAACATTTCTCAAGTGACTCTCTGAAACAACTGGAAGACCTTGCACTAGAGAGGAGTATACTACAGTACAGAAGTGTTTAGGATGCCAAAGAACTACTGGTTTGCTGTGTGTTGATATGAATATTTGACTTATCTTTGAGTAGGGATTATCGGATATTAACTGGAAATGTATGTTTTGCAATAGTTGTTCATGGAGCAGTCAAGCCATTTCAGAAAATTTGAAGAAATGTAGCAATTAGAATAAGCATTCTTTTTATTTTTTAAGTTTATTTATTTATTTTGAGAGAGACCGCGCAAGTGGGTGGGGGGGACAGAGCGAGACTGGGAGACAGAGAATCCCAAGCGGGCTCCGCACTGCCAGCGCAGAGCCCAGTGTGGGGCTTGAACCCACAAAACCGTGAGATCATGACCTGAGCCAAAACCAAGAGTCGGAGGCTTAACCGACTGAGCCACCCAGGAGCCCCTAAACATTCTTAATGTTACTTAGAGTATTCATACTGTACTATGAACTGTAACTTTCGTATTGCACATTCCACTGGTCTAGATGTTTTGAAAAGAAAACTATGTGGGTGGAGAACGTTGGTAAAAGGGAAGTGACTACTTGAGCACTGGTATTTGCTTAAATTCTTAATTTTTTCTAAAAGGCCCATTGAACTTGTTGAGTCTCCCCACACCCACCCAGACCAACATGTAGATGTCTTAAATAAAAATAGACAATAAACAAAAGCTTAGTAGGATGCTTAAAATATTTGAGGGTATTATTGATGGCTGTTTTCTTATTCCATTATATTGGAGTTCTAAACATAGCTGCCCAAACTGACTCTCTTCCTCTCTAAGCTTCATTGCTGATTAACTGATAGACATTGAGAATACGGTGTGTGAAACTTGTCATTTTAGTCCTGCTAGCTTTGCACAGTTTGGCCTATGCCTTCCTCTTCCAGAAACCTTTGTTTGTTCCAAGAGAAGCAGGAGAATGCCGATTGCCTTATTTTAGTATAGGATTAAAATACATGTGGCAAGGACCTCATGGGGGCCCGGCTGTTGGCTGGGTTTTCAATCCAAATAGAGAAGAAGAATGTTTGCTACCTCTTTAAAAAATAAAGGCACTGTGCTCTTTTGCTGTATGAAGGAAGCAGCTGCCAAGAGTTGATGTTTGAAGAACGGGGAGACATAAATGAGCCCTTGACTCTTAGTTATGAAATCACAGATTTGTCTTATTAAAGATTGTTATAATGGACACACATTAAGGTTTCAGAGGCCATAGGACATTGCTAACTTATTTTCCGTAAGTGTGGGTTATCAAGAAGAAAAGAATGTTCTTTTATGCCTGGTACCAGTTGGTTCCGTTCAAAATTTCAGTCAATTTGTTGGAGTAGCTAATTCAAGAAAGATATGAGAAGACCAAGATATCTGAAGCTCAGCTCCTTTAGTGGAGATTGAAATGTGACTCTAGCAATTATCCTTCTTGTTTGTCTAATATCAGCTAAACTTGATCCTTCATTATTTACAGTTCTTTTTAAAAAATGTTCATTTATTTTTGAGAGAGAGACTGTGCACACACATGTGTGCAAGCAGGGGAGGGTCAGAGAGAGAAGGAGAGAGAGAGAATCCCAAGCAGGTTCCCTGCTGTCACTGAAGAGCCTGACTCAGGGCGCAAATTCACAACCGTGAGATCACGACCTGAGCCAAAATCAAGAGTCGGATGCTTAACTGACTGAGCCACCTAGGTGCCCCTTGTTATTTGCAGTTCTTAACCAATCTGAAATATGAGCATTGGAGTTTCATAGGATTTTATTTCTTAATAGATTTTCTTGTTAGGATGTGGATTTTTTTTTGAGGGGGGGAGGGGCAGAGGGAGAGGAAGAGAGAGAGAGAGAGAGGGAGGGAGGGAGGGAGAGAGAGAATCCCAAGCAGGCTCCACACCCAACCGGGAGCCTGACACAGGGCTCCTCTCATGAACCGAACTGGGAGATCATAACCTGTCCCAAAATCAAGAGTCAGATGCTTAACCTACTGAGCCACGCAGGCGCCCCTGCGATGTGGATTTTAAAACATACAGATTAGAAGTTATTTGCAAAGGCAAAGAAAGTTAGTGGAAAGTGTAAGATCATTTAAATCTTCATATACTGTAGTGTGTCTGTTAATTTGAAAAGTCTGCAGCTCCATTGTTGCACAATGTCAGAGGTCAAGATGATTTGGATCTGTGCCTTCCACTGGCTGAGATCACTGGGTGTAAGCGACTAAATACACTACTGTGGTACCTCTTAACTCCTGAAGTTTTCTGACTTGGCCTTTCTAGTGCAGAGGTTCCTTAAAGGGCCTATGGGGTGGGCTGATTTAAGAAAAAAAAGGAGGGTTATTCCCAGAGCTAGTACATATCACAGAGATAATTATAGCAGTAGCATTTCTCTTTTTCTGAACTTGACTAAGTGGTGCCAGAGTTCAGAAGAGATCTTAAAAACAGAGGTGTGCTAAACTGCACTAGACCTACAAATAAGCTGACTGGTCACTGAAACCATGCACTAGCGGATTGAATCTCTGAGTTTCTTTTCACTTTCCTCTTACGTAAGGGGAACATTGAGAATTCTTTTTTTTCCCACCAGTATGCATGAAATGAATGGAAAGGAAAGTTTTGCTTGGCCCCCTTCCTGAGATCCAAGATGGTAAATGCAAGTCTGTAAGGAGTGGGGTCATCGTTTCCAAAGAATAGAGACTAAGTGAACTTTTTAGGGCCAAACGAGGTGGCAGTGCCTCTCCTCTAGACTTTGGCTGTGGTCCTTCTGGTTTTGGAGGTACAGCCCAGCCCCTCTCACAGTCCTTACCCCTTTTCTTTGGAATGGTGTCTGTCGGTGAGGAGTGTATAATCATCTGATTGAAAAGGCTCTTCTCAGAGACCTGGATGCTTTTTAAATGTTACTTCACTGGTTTTCTGTGTAGCACCGAACAGCCTGTCTTGGTGGCTTTCTGATGCACCTTGGTGGCTTTCGGCTTAACGACCTCCATGCTGTTCTCTCCGTAGCTTGGGGACCATCCTACTTCTGAGATCCCCGAGATACATTGATCTTCATGTGTGGTTACTTCATGGCATCGATTAAAATGGTTTTCTGTCATTCTCTTCATGTAAAGATGTGTTTATTAGTTTGTGCTTCAGGTTTCATTTGAAAACAAAAGCAATAATAGGAGGGCTGGAGGAGAGAAACAGGAGGACAGAGTGCATCCATTGGCACTGGCTCTCTCTGCCTAGACCTAGAGGGTGAGGATGCAGATTTAGGTTAATTGGGCAGCTGTACTGAAATTTTACCCATTGAGCACCCATAATCTGAATTCCTGTGTGTTCTTGCTGGAATTATACGGTCTTATTTAATGGTGACATTGTCAATTTGCTCAGTGTTCTCAGAAATGATATTTCTATAGCTTTCCTCTGAGCTTTCTTTTACTTTATTTTTTTAAGTTTATTTATTTTTCATAATCTCCACACCCCACACTGAGCCCAGACTCACGACCCCCAGATCAAGAGTCACATGCTCTTCCAACTGTCAGCCAGGCGCCCCTTGCTGGACCTTATTTTAAAGAATAATGTGATATTAACCAATCTGAAGACAAGAGGCTGGTTATAGAAAGTTGGTACCTGGCCACAGAGTCGCCGAATGGCTGAAATTATTGATCTTTGAAAGATAAGTGTTACAGTTAAGGTGTCAGAGGGGCTTCAGTATTGAACATCAGTTATGCTTTTATTGTTTTCTTTCTAGGTGCATGCTATTATGATGCTAATCAATCTATGTACGTGTTTGGAGGCTGTACCCAGAGCAGCTGCAATGCTGCTTTTAATGACCTCTGGAGACTTGACCTAAATAGCAAAGAGTGGATCCGACCTTTGGCTTCAGGTAAGAGCTAAAGTGCTGATGTTTGCCTTCTTACCAGGTAACTCCCTTTGCATGGACATTCTATCTGATCTGTGTTGGTGTTGGTCTCTGGTACTAGGGTCCCAGGTCAAATCTGTGTAAATGCTAAAAGTAATGTGTTTCTATAAGGTCTTTCAATTAAAAAAATTATACTTTATTACTAGTATTGGTGCCCTGCCAGAATTGTACTACTGTGTGAATTCATTTGTGTGGTTTTCTCAAGTCCTCGCACTGGTGTGATGTGCCTTTTGGTATGAAGTTGAAGTAAGCAGAAACACAGCATCGTGAGAACGGTAGTTCACTGACAGAAGCTGTTGTTCCAGGGCTGAGATCTCTGAGTATCTTTTGTTGTTGCCAGCTCAGACATTTGGGGAGTGTATGGAACATGCCTCTGCTGGTTACTCTTAACGACTCAGGAATGTGGGAAGATTCTCCAGTAGATACATTCCTGCATAGTCCCACTATGCCGAAATTCTGGCAGAAAGAAACTAGATTATTTTCTTTTAAAAAAAATTTTTTGTTTTAAATATTTATTCATTTTTGAGAGACAGAACACGGGTGGGGGAGGGGCAGAGAGAGAGGGAGACACAGAATCCAAAGCAGGCTCCAGGCTCTGAGCTGTCAGCACAGAGCCCGACGCGGGGCTTGAACTCACGATCTATGAGATCATGACCTGAGCCGAAGTCAGACACTTAACCAAAGGAGCCACCCAGGAGCCTGATTATTTTCTCCTTTGTGATTTAACCTTTCGGGGATTTGTTTTTGCACTCTTGAGGCAGGACAGTTTGAAAAGGCACAGCCGTAAGACCGAAGGGGCTGGTGTGCTGGAGAAATAAGAGTCCTCTGAGCATAGAGTACTCTATTAGATTTGTTGACAAGCTTTTCCCAGACATTCATGTGGCTTTTCAAGATTGGAATTCCCTCTAGGACTAAGGAGACTCAGGTTTTCTTGGGCAGATTCCTTACTCATTTAGGTCTTGATTTACTAGTTTGATAACTACATGGGAAGTGACTTGGTATAGTAGAAAGAGCCTAGGCTAAGAGTGAAGAGACCTGAGTTTCATCTCCTGCCATAATAGCCAAGTCTGCATTGTCAGTGAACAGATGACTGCATCTCTCTGGGACAAATACGGAGAGCAGTAATCGATTAGATGATTCTGTTTTCAAATGGCTAGTTTATGCTTTTCTTTTTTTCTGGAATGACTGCTATGATTGTCTAAGCCAGGGGCTTAAAACCTTTTTAAGAGAAGAAACTATAATTTGCTTCCCCAAAGCTGTAAGCTCCTGTTCCTTCCCCTGCAATAGAGAAATCTAGGAAGCAGAAGCCTACTGACAACAGGTACTCACAGGTGGGGCTGGGTTTTGTACAGATGAAATTCTTTATTAAAATCATTAGAAAGAAGACCAAGTGTTAATCTTAAAAATTTTGGAAGTTAGTGCTATTTTAGGGCCCTTAGAATTGTGTGCTTTGGAGAGTTTCCTTTTCTAGCCCCCTGTCCCCTCTTGCAGTTAGAGCAATACTGATTAATATTTGGAATCACAGATCTAAAATGTCCAAGATTTCTTCAGCTTCAGCATCCTGTTGCCACTGTACTTGGTGTCCAGGTCCCGTTCCAGAGCAGTTTTGGCTATTCCAGTCACAAAACGCCAATACTGCCCCTTCTCTGTTGTGTAACCAAGCTCTTTGCTTCTGGTGCTTTGGCCTGGGGGTTGATCTTCCTTCTAGAAGTGGAGCCCCGGACTGTGGTACCTTCATAGCATACTGCTACCTACTGTGCTTATTTCCCTAATTTCCCTCTGTAAGGTAGACGTGGGACTTTTTTTTTGTTTTTAAACCACTAAGACTCTGTTTTGAGATCCTCAAGGTAGAAGTATCAGAGAAATAAGTGACTTTAAAAATACAATGGTAGACTGTTTCCTTTTGTAAAACATAGAAGCTCCTGAAGGTTCAATTTTCTCACAAAGTGTCTCAAAGAATCTGCTTGCCACTTCACTGTAATCTACAATTAGAGCCTAGTTTTCAAGGGGGGGAAGACAGTTTTTTGAAATGTCTCCTTTTTTAAACAAACAAGCACTAGTTTTTAATAAAGAAGCCTGTGAGATTCTCCTTCGGGCAGAAATCCCATGGGAAGATTGCCTGAGGACATGCTTCTGTGTGCTGTCATGAGTCCCAGCCAAAATGACTTCCTCACTGAAACATCAGTGAGTCTTTCTGAACAGCACCCCCGTTGTTGATACGCCTTGGTGTGCCTGATTCACCCGTTCTGGCGCACGGAGGTGGGCAGGTTGGAAAGTGACTGAGGGGAGGGTGTCAGCTGTGGAGTCCCCTCACTTATATTTGTAAGCAGAGGGTATTTAAAGCCGTAACCTCAACAGGGTTGAGTACCAGGCAGGTTCAACAGTCTTTGAAAGCGTAGCCGTGTGGAGAAGAGTAGCAGACAAGCAGTGGGGCAGTTTCATTTGGAGTGGAGAGTCTTTCTGGAGGGTGCTTCTGCATCAGGTGCCTTTTTCCTTGTTTATCGGCTGCCCCTAGGCATGAGACAGGAGCCCTGCCACGTGGGGTGGTGTCCTAGCCAGCTCAGGCTGCCACAGCAAAATACCGCAGACTAGGGGCTTCAGCAACAGAACTTGATTTCTCACAGTTCTGAAGGCTAGGAGACTGAGATCAGGGTGCCGGTGAGGGTTGTCTTCTGGTCTTGGAGACAGCTGCCCTCTTGCTCTCTCCTCATCTGGCAGAGACAGAGTTCTGGTGTCTCGTCCTCTTCTTATAAGAGCACCAATCCCATTATAAAAGGCCTCCACTTTGTGACTTCATCTAAATCTCCTTAATCTCCCAAAGGTCCTATTCCCGAAGGCCATCACATTGGGGTTGGGGCTTCAACATACGAATTTTGAGAGGACACAGTTCAGTCCATAACCATGGGAATTAATGCGGCTTGCCTCTAAATCCCGGTTGTTAGTTCCTTTTGCAGTGATAGAAGCACTCCATCTAGAGGGAGTGTGGTGGTGACAAATGTTAGAATGAGAACTCTTCCGGCTGAGCCAGACCTACCTATAGCTAGTACTTCTCAGATGTTTCCAGTGAGGTGCCCCCTGCTTCCTTTTACAGCTGTCTTGTAGCCCCTCCCCTCATGAAGTGTATATCGTATCCTGTAATGGGGGAGAAACAAAAACAAGCAAGCAAATTATTACAAAGTATGGAGAAAACAAGGAATGAGCCAGAATAAGAGGGGGAGAGCTACTTTAAACAGAAGGCAACTTTTTTTTTTTTTTGCTGAGATTTGAAGGATGAAGAGTGGAAAAAGCGAGGCCAGCATATGCAGAGGCCCTGGGGCAGCAAAGAATAGCACACGTAAGAGGACCCGAAAGTGGACCTTGGTGGACAGACATAGTATGCTGAGCAAGGAGCAGAGTGGCCCAGGTGGAGCTGAAATGTAAACAGGAGCTGACTCGTTCACGCTCCAGCATCTGAGAGATTTTGAGATTTTAAGCAGAGGAATATGATCCAATTTACATTTTAAAGAACAACTTTTGCTGCTACTCAGGAAATGGATTGAAGAAGGCAAGAAGACAAAGCCAAGAGAACAGCTAGGAGGCCCTCACATGGTACGGGTGAGGGGATGTAATGACTTGGACTAGAGTCCTAGGAGTAGAGGTAAAGGGAAACGGAAGAATTTGAGCTGAAATTCTGATAAAATCAGCAGGACTTCTTGATGGATTGGCTGTGGGAGGGTCAGAGGGCCGGTCAAGGCTGATTTATGCTTCAGTTTGACAGCTGGGTAGATAGAGGGCCCGTTCCCTAAAATGGACAATAAATATTTGGAAGAAGTTTAATTTTTTTATTTCTTTACACATTTCAGTGGTGGTATCATGTAATTAGTTGTTATGAGAGTTTGATGTTTAAAGTAGAGTGCTTGACGTCCCGTAAACGACAGCACAGTCCTTCCTTTTGTTACGTTAATTCTACTCATCCTTCATTTGTTCTTGCAGCAAATACTTATGGATTTCCTACTCTGTGCCTGGCATTGTTTTAGATGCTGGGGACACATGAGTGAATAAAACAGACACAAATCCCACTCTTGATGGAGATCAAATCCAAATGAGGGAAGACATATTTAAAATGCCAAATAACATAATATAGAATGTTAGAAGATGGTTACTGCTACTGAAGCAAAATTATAGCATGGTAAGGAGGGTCAGGTGGGAGTTACAACTAGGTCGATAAGGGTAGACCTCATGGAGAAGGTAGCATTAGAACAAAGACTTGATTGGGTACAGAAGTGAACCAAGGGATAGCTAAGTAAAAGAACATTCCAAACTGAGAATAACCAGTGCAAAGGTCTGGAGGTGGGAGTGTGCTTGGGACAGTCAAGGGGTAATGAGGAATGAGAGTGAACAAAGGAGAATGTTCTAGGAAAGGGGGTTGGACAAATAATGGACGGAAATGTGTCATACACATAAGACTTTCAGGCTGTCGTGGGGACTTTTTCACATTTTTTGAGTTCAATGACTGGCCATTTAGGTTTCTGAGAAGAGTGTATAAGAAGACAAGTGTAAGAATGAGGAGACCAGCTAAGAAGTGGTAGCAATAATCTAGACAAGAAATGGTGACTTGGGTTAGGGTGTTAGCAGAAAGTTAACAACTGGATGGATTGAATGGGGCCAGTGGGATTTGCCCATGATGTGGATGTGGAGTGTGATAAGAGAGAAGAGTCAAGGGCAGTCCTAAGGATTTTTAGCCTGGGCATTTGAAGGAATAGTGTTGCCATTAACTGAGATGGGTAAGAAAGGCTGTGGGTGGTCAAGGTCGGCAAAGTTCAGGAGAGATGAGAAATTCAGTTTGAAACACACATTGGGACATCCAGGTGGAGTTGTGTCTGGAGTTCCAGAGAGACCTGCACGCCTGAGACAGTTGTCAGCCATATGGGAGTGATTAGCATGATGGATTCCCTGGGTGAGATGACCAGGGAAGTGAGTGAAGA